GAAAATTGATGGAACATTTAAATTTCTACTCGGTACACTGTCCTTCAGTATTCTGTACTTAACTATATGTGTATATAATTAATACTTGAGAATCTGGCAGGTGCTTTGAGAGTGTCATCTCCTTTTATTGATGTTGCATCTCTGATCTGGTGTTTTCAGCTAATGTGGTCCAGGCTGTGATGATGATGGTGGTGCATTTTGGGTGTCTGAACTCATGTTCTAAGGCAGTGAGCACAAGCCAAAGGCATCTGAGTCTAGCAGCCCAGTAGGATTTGGCTTTCACTATCAGAAGGTCAGAAACTACTATTTTACAGAATTGCTGTTGTCCTGATGGATTTGAACTACAAATATTACACTTTGAAGCGATTTATTAGGAAATCTCCACTGACATGAAGTCATAGAATAACCAGAATATTTCTTGTCATTCACTGTTGCTTACTAAATGCTAAATGGAGTATTTGCCCCATCTATTTTTGATGTGCATAAATATTGCATTTGACTATTTACAGTGGTGTACATGGTGGGACAGATCTATTTTCACAAGAATAAATTCACTGGTAACATCGATTCTTACTTATGCCAAGATTCTGTCTTTGACATATCTTCCATAAACAGTTCCAAAATGGTCTTGCCACTCAAATATTGCAAGCACTACTGTGCATCATGCAGAATTTGCAGTAGTGTGGTTCTTGTAACTGTGTTTTTATTGAGATAAACTGGTCTTAACATTAAAATTTATTAAGAAAAAGCCTCTGTGCTGTTTCTTATTACTGTTGTTTTGCAAGTCATGACAGAAAAAACTGAACCAGGCCATCATATAATGTGAACTGTAACTACTTTAATGTAGCTTACATTATCTGTATTCACTCTTTTTTTTTTATGGAAAACTGGTTTCAAATCAAACTTGTACTTTTGCACTGCTTTACAGATCCCAGGTGAAGTTTGTTTCTGAAACTGTCCATTGTGAACTTTCAAAAAATTTCATCTCCTTATTTTTATGCCTATTTTGGGAAAGAAGATGGAGGTTGTATCTAAGAAGAATTAAATAACACTACTTTTTTTTTATTGCTTCTAAGTTTTAATAGTTTGCCTTATTGTGCTGTGTGTATTCCTCTGGCCTAGAAACTTGATAGCATGTAAGTTAACTGGCTGTTGCTAGGATGGCTGACAAGCTCGGTACCAGCAGCTGCCATCTGTGGTGGAGTCACACAGTATGCAGGGGTCTTACAGGTTCAGTGTGTGTACTTTCACCACAGTTTGTTGACCCTGTGTCTGGAATGGAGGTGTTGGAGGTGCATGCTGGTTTAAGTGTAGCCCCTTCGTGGTGTTGAGTATCGGATGCTTTTAGTGCTTCTACAGGCCTTCATCCAAGAAGTGTCCAATGGCTCTGAAGCTAACGTGTCACAGACTGAAAGAAGTTGATTGCAGCATGGCTTTGACTGTTTTTACACAGATTATTTTATATTGATTAAAAATAGTTAAAACTCTGCATCCTTTCTCTGTATCCCCTTCCCCACTTTCAAGGGCTGTCTGGAACCTGTAACCATGCTCTGTCAGTAACTTCCTCAGAAAAATGTCAGCTCCGGCACCAATTACAGTATTCACATCACTTTTCAGCTTTCCTTGCATTCCCCAAAGAGTGAGGAAATGTCTTGATAAAAATCTGCACAGCAGCCTCACTGTTCTTCAGAGAACTCAGTAAAAATCCCTTTACTTTGCAAAACACAAATGACAGTGATTTGTTGATTCCACTGCCCAGTATGATGATGATGAGGGCCCTTTTGTTTCCTCGTACTCCACTGACTGACTGTCCATGTATATCTAGATAGGGAATCCTTCATGGATCCTTCAAGCTCTGCTTGCCTGAGGCACAGGCACTGTGCAGCTTGCACAATGAGTGGACTTCTTAGCAGAAATTATTATACAGATAATAAAAACATTAAACAGGGAACTGAATCTTGGTGCTGTAATCAAGTTCAGGATGCAAAAAAAAGGAACCAGTCTTCTGAAACAGATAAGGAAATTACTTTTATGAAGCATTAAGGTAAATTATCGCGTTTCAGTTCTTATTTTTATGAACTGGAACTAAGGAATTGCATAGTTCACAGCAATTTTATTTAATCTGTGAAGCTGTGCTTCTGGTTTTAATTTCTTTGTTTAGAACTAGTCACCATAAATTGAGAAATGATACGCTGAAATCATAGTTACTCAATAATGAAGATTTTTAGAAGGTGGTATTTCCAAAGGTCTAATAGTATTCTGAAATGAACTGAATGGTTTGAATTCAGTATAATACTCGGGGATGGAGCAATAACAAGATGATTTCACAATTCTGCACATCACTGTTGCTGCTTAGGTGCTTAGTTGCTGTAATCTGTTATTTGCTGAGTAGTGGCCAGAGCCTCAGAGGTACATTTTATTTTCCTGTACAAGGAGAATTCAAACATTTGGAGTTACCTGAGCTGGGGGGGGGGCAGACACTTAACCTTGACTGATATATGTTAAATCACTTGGATTTCAATTAGTGTTTCAGTTTATGGAAAATAACACTAGTGTTACCTAGAGAGAAGGCCTAGAGAGGTCTTCATAGATGAAAGCGTGTTCTGGAGTAGCATGCAGCTAATTGGTCTCTTATTTTCCAATTATTTTTCATTCTTGTAGGGAAGTTTTAGCCTTTTTATTTTTACAATAGTTTTTAATTCTTATATAAGAATGTGTTTTAAGAAAATGCAGTTTTTCATCAAATACTCAAAAAATGAGGGTATGATATTAACTCTCAAAGAACTGCGGATTAGAAAGGAATATTGAACTTCAGCAGTTCACCTGTGATCCCTAGCCACCTTTGGAAAAACTGCATTGTGATACTAATTCCATTGTGCAAATCCTTGCAGGACATGTGCTATAGTGTTTTAAGAAATCACTTGAAAGCATCTCCCATGTGAAGAGCAGCTGTCCCACGGTATGTCAGGAGTTTGCTGTGTTTGTATGTTGGCAGGAAGCTGAAGTATCTCTGTCCTGCGTGGCCGTGTGTGTCCAGCTGGGAGGGCCGTGCTGTGGGTCAGGAAGGGCTGGCTTCATGGAAGGTGGTGCTCGTTTTCAGGAACGGTGCCCGTTCCATGCACGCAGCACCGAAGCTGCTTTGGAGCCGTGTCCTTTGAAGGCTGTGAGGGGGGAATAACGCCAATATCAAGCTGATTGGAGTGCTCGGGCTGCCCTGGGTTGCCAGGAGCCCGACTCCCGGGGCCGTGCTCCCGCGGGTGCCCTGGGCAGCGAGAGCTGCC